GAGGTGAAAGACCTCTATGCTGAAAACCACAGAATACTAAGGAAAGAAACTGAAGAAAAACCTCAAAGATGGAAAGATTTCCGATGTTCCTGGATAGGCAGAATTAATGTTGTCAAAATGGCCATACTACCAAAAGCATTATACAGATTTAATGCCTATTAAAATCCCAAATGACATTCTTCATAGAAATAGAAAAAGCAATCATAAAATTATTTGGAAAAAAATAAGAGACCCATAATAGCTAAAGCGATTCTTAGCAAGAAAAGTGAAACAGAAGGCATCACAATACCAGGCTTTAAACTATACTACAGAGCCATAGTAACAAAACCAGCATGGTATTGGCACCAAAACAGACTTGTAGAACAATGGTACAGGTTAGAGGACACAGAGACAAACCCACATAAATATGGTTATGTCATACTAGACAAAGGTTCCAAAAGCATTCACTGGAGAAAAGGTAGCCTCTCCAACAAACAGTGCTGGTAAAACTGGAAATCCATACGTAGCAAAATGAAATTAGACCTCTATCTCTCACCCTGCACAAAAATCAACTCCAAATGGATCAAAGGTACAAGAACAGACACCCTCCACCTAATTTTTTAAAAAGCAGGTTCAAAGTCAGCCTAGGATCTGACTTCCTTAGCAAGACTCCTAAAGTGCAAGCTGTATTATTATTTTAACACAATGTTATTTTAAGTTATCTACATAGTTTCCTCTTTCTGTGGTCACCATTTTTTTTCTTGCTTCTCAGTCCCTTCATTTAAAAAGTCACTTTCTCTCTGCCTGTAGTAACTTCCTTCCTATACGCAAGTGAGGGCCTAGTGGTGTCTAAAAATGCATCTGTGGGTTTTCAGATTTTTGAAAATATCTGCATTTTGTCTTCTTTCTAGAAATGCATTTTCCCTGGATACAGACTGCTAAGTTACTGTGACAACATTTCAACATTCAGAAGGGCCCACTCCATCCTCTGGTTTCCTTAATTGCTCTTGATACACACCATCTGCAAGCCATTCACTCTGCTCCCTTGAAAGTAACTTTTCTCTCAGGCTGCTAAGTTAAATGTTCTGCTTATTTGGGGTATTTGGCAGTTTTACCACATTGGCTCTAAGAAGTGGCTATCTTTTCATTCTGACTGAGGCTGGGAATTTCCAGCGTGGTCTTAGTCAATGAATAGAAATTTTCTTTTCAAGAAAGAAAAAACCTTGCAAGTCAACAAGCCCAACATGAGTACAGGCCTAGAGAAGAGTGTGTTTGCAGTTTCAACCAATTGACATAGCTGAGTTTAAAATATCAACGTTGGCCTTATAACAAGGTTATGGTTATATTTATAAGCTGAGTCACCAATTTAATTGGTATTCTCTAGCCAACCTCAAATAGAGGTTCAAGGAAGCTGATATTGCTTCACCCCTCGGATTTCAGACTCACTGTGGTAGAGAATCCAGATTAACTTCTGCATTTGAGGCATTGTTTCATATACTTCATCCCATTGCCTGAAAGAATTAACATGAACATCCATTTTTAAAACTGTGTAACCAATGTGATCCTGCAAGCTGTACACGTGGAAAAATGAGAATTCATACCCCATTTGAATCAAATGTATGATATGTCAAGATCATTGTATTGTCTCAAGCAACTAATCAAAAATAAAAATTTAAAAGAAAAAAGAAAAAAAAACTTCAGTCTACTTGGATGTGGAGCTAGGTCTACTTTGGAGAGTTTCTTTGCTTATAAAAAATAACTTAAAATGTAACTCTGCTGAAGTATTATCAGCACTGATAACTGAAATACAGACCTAACTCTGGTGGGTTTTCTGGGAAAGGTACTCATTATACTAAAAACCAACTAACTTGGGCTGGGGATGTGGCTTAAGCGGTAGCGCGCTCGCCTGGCACGTGTGCGGCCCGGGTTCGTTCCTCAGCACCACATACAAACAAAGATGTTGTGTCCGCTGAAAACTAAAAAATAAATATTAAAAAAAAATTCTCTCTCACTCTCTTTAAAAAAAAAAAAACTAACTTACATCTCCAATAAATCGCATTACTTAGAACCATAAAGTAATTATACCATGGCCAGGCATAGCGGTGCACATCTATAATCCTCATAACTCAGGAGGCTGAAGCAGGGGTATTGTAAATTTAAGGTCAGCCTCAGCAATGTAATAAGATTCTGTCTCAAAATTTTTTTAAAAAAAAAGAAACATAAAAGGTTTAGGGGTATAGCTCAGTGATAGAGTACCCTTTTATTCAATGCCCAGTACAAAAATAAATAAATAAAAATAGAAATTCGATGCAACATATGGAGCACTTGAATGTGCTTGCAAGGTTTGCATGAACCATAACAGAACTCAAAGGCCATCCTCATAATGGTCTTCACTCTGTCTTGTCCTCATTTCAAAAGAGTGAACCCATGAAGACCCAAGGATCGCGGGGATGATTGTGATGTGCCATGACGTGAGCAGCTCTGTGTCCCAACCATGTTTCTGCAGTGGTCTTTCATTTCTCAGCATTTCCAATGGATGCACATGGCAGGTGTCTGGATAAAGGATTCATCTTGTTCTTTCCATGAGAAAACATTTTTCTCCACCTAAGCTTTATTTTAAGAATCTATGTGCTGCCTTTGGGCTATATATTCTGTTAATATTTTTTTTTTTGCTTTCTCTGAAAATCCAGAAGTAAATACAACTTCTTTATCCCTTTTCCAATTTTCAGGGAATAACCATTACTAAAGGGGTTAGATTGAGAGAATCACCAAATCTGGATGATATCTAAGAAAATGAGCACTATCAGAATAAAATTAATAAGAATCAACACAAAATGGATCAAATTGGCAGGTATACCACCACTCCCATAAAAGAGACAGATTATAAATACGCTTCTGGGTAGAACTGGGAAACACCCATATCTAGTCTTTACTGGAGAAGGTCAGGATTATGTTCAGAATAGCAATATATTATTGTAGAAAATTTTCTTAAGATAGAGTCACTGAGTACAATTTATGACTACTTATTCCCCCAAAATTTGGAATTGTGTCTGGTATAATGTAAAATTCTGATCACTAAAAGGCATATTGTATTGTAAGGCATTTAATAGACACAGAGCACTCCTTATGAGATAGGCAGTGTGCCAAGAACTAGATATTCAAAGTGGAGCACAACATGATCTCCATCTCCCAAGGCTTGAGGGTTAGCAGAGAGCACCACTACCTTATATTGAAAAGTGTATTATTCATCTTGGTCCAGCAGAAGGTTAGCCCCTCCAAGGGCAAAAAAAAAAAATGACTATGTTGTTTTTTCCATTTTTCCCCCAGTACCTGATGATGTATTTGGTACAAGGGAGATCCTTAACAACTACTGATAAATAAGTGAATATGCTAATGCAGTGTCTGCTTTGTGTTGGGTACCATGATTAAGTGTCAGCAAAGGCTACAGTTGATTCTCCAAGTTTTCCCATAGCTTGGATTCTATAACTATTAGTTTTACTCTCAGCTTAGTCTATAGGCCACTTTAACAAAAAGCTGTGTCTTATACAGGTTTCCATTACTGTAACAAATAACCAGAGATTTTCACCTGATAAAGATAAAAGGGTTAAGCCAGGAGCGGTGGCACACACCTTTAATCCCAGCCACTTGGGAGGCTAACGCAGGAGGATCATAAGTCTGAGGCCAGCCTCAGCAGCTTAGTGAGGCCCTAAGCAACTTAATGAGACCATATCACAAAATAAAATAATAAAACAAAAGGGCTGGGGGTGTGACTGAGTGATTAAACACCCATGGATTCAATCCTAGTAAAAGAAAGAAAAGAAGGAAGGAAGGAAGGAAGGAAGGAAGGAAGGAAGGAAGGAAGGAAGGAAGGAAGGAGAGAGAGAGAGAGAGAGAGGGAGGGAGGGAGGAGGGAGATTAGTTTGGCTTACAGTTTTAGAAGTTTCATTTCATGATCCACAGGCCCTGTTGATTTGTGCTCGGGCAGTGTGTCATGGCTGGAATGCAGGTTGAAGCAGATGCACTTATCTCCTGGCCCGAAGTGAAGGAGAAAGAGGAGGGGCTGGGTTGCAGGATCCCTTTCAGGAGCCTCCAGTGACCCGAAGGTCTTGCACCAGATCCCACCTCTTGAGGTTCCCACCACTTCCCAATAGCACCAGGCTGGGGTCCGATTCTAACCTTTGCACTGAGGACATTCTGGATCCAAACTGTAGCAAAATGTAAATCACTGAAACTTAATTCTTGATGTGTTTTTATTCTCAGATATAAAATATATAAATACGAAGGGGTGCTAAAAAGTAAACCATGTTAACAATAATCTCTTTAATTGAAATGTCACTTACAAATCACTATATGCTAGGCTTAGAGTGAAATAGGTATATACATGTATTCTAGGTGCTTTTCCAAATGGTGATATGCATAATTTTGGATGTCTATCATGAATCTTGGGTTGTAAATAGATTAACCTAAAAGTTCATCAGATGTAGATTAATTTTAATGTGTTTAGGGGAAAAAATATGACATTAAATTAGTGATATCATGGATATTATCGACATGGTTTCAGATGAGGCTCAGCTCTCCTCTACCACTAAATTACCTGTTTTAAAGACAGTTTAAAGAAAAAAAAAACAAGTATATAATAGTTCAGGTTATAGCTGCATATGACAGAAACCATGAAGGAAGTGAACCTGAGGAGATTCATTGGTCCCCTCTGGATGATTTCATAGGGTACTAAAACAGGTGGAGAAGACAATAAGGTAGGGAAAAACATGTGTATGCTCATAGGCTGGAGCCAGACCACTGGGTTCCAATCTCAGATCTCCTGTTCACCTCTTTCTTTGAGTTTGGGCAAGTCACTTGGCCTTTCCAAGTCCTGGTTTTCTCATCTGCAGAATGAGGATGTTGATAGTCATTACCTCACAGTTGCAGGATTGAGACTGGAACACAGGCATCTCTGATATTATAAGCCATACCAAGATCTCTCCTGGATGGCAGAGGGGTTTTATCTCTTGTGCCAATTTGAAGAATTGGAAGCGTCTGCCTGTGGTACAACAATGACACATATTTGAGACTTCATGGGGGAAAGGGACTAATAAATGTCAGATATCTGCCTCCAGATATATTTCCTGCATGGTGCTCTGTTACTGTCTACTTGTAGGTCCAAGCTCACATTAGACCCAGTAACTTCTAAGCTCACATTAGACCCAGTCTCACTAGGACCAGTGCAAAGGGCAATGAGGATGAAAGATAACCCAATCAATCCATTTCTTTTTATATTTTCTTATCGATACTGACACCAATACTAACAGAGACGTGGCATCAGCTAAAATTAAGACTTCCACTTTGAAATTAATGTATGTTGCAAAATAGTATTTTACATTAATCAAATGTTACTGCTTCACTTGCAAAAGATAGCTAATCTAAACATTTCAGTAAACTTAATAGGTGTTTAATTTTCTGAAAGAGGAGGAAGGAGGGGGAAGTTGGAGAAGAAAGAAGAAGAAGGGAAGAAGAAAGAAATAGTGGTGTGCACAGTCCAGACATCAGAAATGATCCTGGTCAGTCATTGGCTGATGGCCTGTCTCGATGGCTTCTCCCAACTTTGGAAGTTCTCAAAAGCAGAGAATGTGTCCAGCCTGAACTGACCCTCCCCAGCTGTTTGCTTCAGTCTAGGCAAACACATGGTCATGATCAGATCCATAGCCACTTGAAGCTCAGTGGAATGACGACTCCCAGTGTCCCTTTTCAGGAGGTGGCTGGTCCTGTCCATCTGCCTTCACCATGGCTACTCTCTGCAATCAATTCCAGCTCTGTCCTGCCGTCATCTTGATACTCATCTAGCCATCTGCCATGGAAAGAGGAGATAATTAATAAGACAGAGAAGTGAAAGGAAGCACATTATATGAAAGAGTAAAATATAAAATGGATTAATATTTAAAAAGCATTTGCAATTTCAAGCCACTCCAAATTGTCTTTAATTAACTTCAGCAAAACTGTCCTACACTTGAGTTGCAAGGTCACATTCGTTCACTCTAAAATTCTGGTTTTTAGAAAAGTCCTCTGGAAACATTACCTATATTTTAATACATCTTAAAATCAGTAAATATTTCTCATTTGGAGTACTGTTTGTGACAGCCTTGATTTCTCTCCTGGCATGTGACTAGCAGTTGTATATTGTGGCCAAACCCTCAGACTCTATCATGGCACTCTGCAAGAGAAATAATAAATAAGATATGAACCACATATACAAAAAAATAAATAATGTAGAGGGTAAAAGGTGAATTTTAATAATTTTCATTTCCTTCAAATTCAAAAAATTCAAAAAGATTATTTAAACATATAATCAATATGAAGATTATGTCACATTCTTTTTTGTACTACATCTTTAAATTCAAATTAGTCTCAATGGAGGAATTTGCTAGATATTATGTGGTTGTGGTTTCCACATAAGGGCAGACAACTCTGAAACTGGACATATTTGATCTGCATTCTGTTTCCATCAACTTTATTTATTATAGTTATATATTCCACCAATATATATTTTGAAAAAAAATCCTCTTTTTGCCTCAGTTTCCTTGTCTGTGAAATAGAAGTACCCCACAGCCCACCTAAGCTTTACTGTGGGGATCAAATGAGTCTGTGTGTGGAGTTCTGGCTTTACCTTAAGCCTACCCTTTGATATGAGTCAAATAAACACTGTGATGGATATTCTTCTGATTTTCTCTCCAGCAACAAGGAAGATAGCTCTTACAGTTTAAATCTGGAATATCCCCCAAAAGCTTGTGTGTTGAAAACATGGTCCCCTGTGCAGCCAGGTTCAGAGTTGGGGTTTTTAGGTAGTGATTGGATCGTGAGGGTTCTGACATCATTAGTGGATTAGTTCATTGAGGGCTGAATGGATTACCCGGACCCCTTTGGAGGAGGTAGGTCACAGGGAGAGTACCCTGGAAGGGTGTATCTTCTCTCTGGCCCCTCCTTCTCTCTTTCTCTCTCTCTCAGTTTCCTGGATGCTATGATCTGGCAGTTTTCCTGTTGTGCTCTCCCTTGATGTTCTGCCTCCCTACAAGTTCAAAGCAATGAACCCAGATGTCCACAGCTCCATGAAACCTCCAAAATCATGAATCAAAATAAGCTTTTCCTCCTCTAAGTTGTTTTTCTCAGTGATGAAAGATTGACTGACGCATCAGCCATGTCAACCTGAGGGAGTCCCACAACAGAAGAAATCCGCTGTTCCTTAACTCTGCAATAAAGCTATAAATAACTTTGTTTCTCAGAGGCCTTTTCTATTCTCATAATTAAGAGGGGATTTGAATTTAAATAACTGATAAACTCTGCTGAGAAGATAGTAAAACCTGGGTCTTCGAAACTCTCCAAAATGTCATTAGGATTTTCAGACAAAACAATTATATAGAAGACTCAGAATTTTGTGTGAAGATATTTTTCCTAAAGGCAATAAACAAGATTATGGTGATACAATGGAAAAGAAAGATGGAGAGATGCTGGATTAAAATTCTCGAGAGTTCAGGAACATAGAGACCCAGCTCTCTGGCTAACTCTTCTATGAGTTGGGCATATCATTCATCTCTTGGAGAGTCAGTTTTCTTGTCTGTCCAACAAGGCATAAAGTAGGTTATCTTTGGTTTCTTCCATTTCTGAAGAAATAGCCAGAAAACTTCTCTTTTTGTACTTATCTAACCCTGGGTCATCAGAGAAAATGAGCAAGGAAAACATTTAATACTGCCATAATTCAGTTAAGGATGACATGCAATGATACACCTGTATGCAATATTTAATATGATGTCGTGTTGAACAATACATCATCTTAAATATTTTCATCTACAACATTTTATTCCTATAAATCAAATTTCCAAGGCTTGTAATTATTCAGAAATGTAGAAATAAGTCACCTCCATTTTGACTTCTACTCCTTTACCTTGCCAGTAAAATTAATTTTGGCTCTGAAGAGAACATGACTCTTCTCATCTGCTCAGAGCAATTCTTTGTCTTAAATGTGACACACTTAGAAAAATCATCATCTTTTATTTATTTTCATGATATCTCATAGTCACCATCTCATTCAAAACAATAAAGCTATATCACATAATATTAAACATAGCCTCATATAATATCAATTATCTAGATGTGATATAGAATGAAATGTTATATGCATGCTGGCCAAATTTGAGCACTTAATATGTAGACAGTACAACCAAATAACTGATTTTAAAGTTTTATTTGATTTCAATTAATTTAAATGTAATTGTGGCTAATGGCTACCACATTGGAGTATGCAGATACATTTTTTTTTTTAAAAAGCCAATTATTTGGAGAATTCTACATAATTGATACATGATCTAGAAATAAAAGTGAGTTTTCCTGATCCATTTGGTTTGGTCTTGGATCTGAAGATTTCTTATATTTACAATTGCTTCTATGACATTTGCCACCCTAGAGCTTCTAATAATCACAAGCCATTTTTGAAAGTACTTTATATACATTGAAATCCTAAAACAACCCTGCAAAATAGGCATTATTACTGACATTTTACATAAGAATAAACTGAAAGTTGTCAGAGCTAGTTAGTAATGTGTTATTATTCAAATCTAGTTCTGAAAATCATGAATCTTTGCTCCTTTCACTCTTCTTTAATTAATAAGAAAGATTTCTTGAAAAAACAAAAGTATAAGGTCTCTTCTGAGAACTTTAACTTTGTAAAATGTCAATAACTACTAAGATACTCATGTATTTTAAAAGAATGTGTTCTGGGTTGGGGAAGAAGATAAGAAAAGTGTTTTAAATTTCTTTCATAGAGAAAGCAACTCCTTATTAAGTTTCAAAAGAGTGGCTATTTCCTAGAATCAAAAAGAGTAAAGTAAAATCCAGCCAGCCACCCAGTGTGCTTCTCTGCAAGTCTGATAGAGTATAAATCACTTTAGGGAATAGTGAAGTCAACCCATCTGCTAAAGAGCACACCCAGCTCTCCAGTTTCATTTAGAATTACATCCCTCCTCCCTTATCAGTCATCAAGTGAGAGCTCTTTGAAGACAGGAGATCTTTATTTTTATCTCCATATATCCAGGACTTGGTGTAGTGCCTGACACCAAATATTTTCATCTGCATCATTCTGTTCCTATAAATCCAAATTTCCATGCCATGGTTTTGCACGAATAAATAGAGGAGTAAAGTAATACACAAAATGCAAGGCATGAGTTCTCCAGATTGAAGGAACATAGAGTCACATAGATGTAACATCCTGATACCTGCGTCCTCACAGTGCAAGTCTCTCCCAGGGCCCTTAGGCTAACACTGGTGCTTATATGGGAGGCAAGAGGTCCCTGCTGAGAGAGACAGGACTCCTTTCTGCTGGGCCTCCAAGGTATATTCCACTTCTTGATATGGCAGCTGGTCAATTCCTATTGCATGAAGACTGAACAAGTGGATCAACACACTCTACAGATTAGTTGATAAGGAACAGAAATTACCACCATTTTGTCCCATCATTCCAGATGTGGAACACCTACTAAAAGGTTAATTGGGCAAAGTTACCACTATGGTAACTTTGAAATAATAATTGGATATTTGTTACATTGGCAGAATTAAAAACTTGGGACGTAATGGGTTAATTTCATAATGTCAATTTTTAGTGCATTTTGTTGTAAGATAAACGTGATATTCTCTTTGCATCACCTCTATAAAGTAAGTAGGGAAGATTTAATCTTTTTAATCATAAGATTTTTGAAAACGGGGGATCAGAGTTTAAGTGATTCACCTATGGCTACTTGGCCAAGAAATTACACAGCTGCCCTTGAAGTTTGATTCTCTTATTATTACTATGCCATCTAAGTATAAAGGAGTTCAGAGTTCATGCACATAATTTCATTTGGGTTTAAATGATTCAAATGAACTAGGGAAATAAAGCATTATTCCTGCCTTACAAATGAGGCCACTGAACTTGAGAAAAGTTGAAAGAAGTACCCAGAACTAGCAGTGTCCTAGCAAGTATTTGAGAAACAGAGATAAGAACCTTTTTTTTTTACAGTTATCAAAATACTTTATTTTTTCCCTTTTTTTTCTTTTTTTTTCTTTTTTTTTATTGTTGGTCGTTCAAAACATTACATAGTTCTTAATACATCATATTTCACAGTTTGATTCAAGTGGGTTATGAACTCCCAACTTTACCCTGTATACAGATTGCTGTATCACATCAGTTACCCTTCCATTGATTGACATATTG